TGAGAGGAATTATCTTACCAGATGAAGGAGTTGTTTTTTTAGAATACCTCAAACAACTGTAGGAAACGCGATTTCTTTGAGACTACTATCAATATCTACAATGTAAAAATGTCTCTAGACACCAGTGAACACAAGGTTTGTGTACACTAAGATTTGTCGAAGGATTCCTACTAATCCTCGGTGATACTGTGATCTTGATGCTTCGGGATATTTTTTAAGTTTCGAATTTACGAACATAGTAAGTATTTAATATATTTTTAGATTTGCGGTGAAATCTTGAGAGAATATTTTAAATAAATCTGTTAGATATTAGTAGAAGCTCATTTACTTACATAATAATGAAGAACTTCCTATTGTCAAACAGTATCGGAGACACGATATTTGAAAGTTTTACCATAACTGAAGGCAAGGTAGGATGACCTATTTTGGCTAGTCCTAAGGAACTTGGTATACTAGGTTTATGGGTGACTGGATTTGTGAGTGTCCATTACCTCAGAAGAATGGTCAGAATTTAAATGAGACGTTAACCTCGTTATCGGAGATATTTTCAGACGGGACAGAGTGTTTATTTAAAGAGGAATGTTTTTGTTTTGTTTCGATAGTCTGAACGGACTGGTTGACCACTTCCTTGATTACTCACTACTGCTGTGACAGGTTCTGTGTCTACATATTCGATTTCAATATTTGACTGACTGATACAGATTTGTAGTGTCTTGACAATAATTTCTATACAGGATTCAGATATGTTGGTAGTATCGATAGAGAAATCTGTAAATTTACAGCTGAAAATATTGAACTACTTCAGTAGCCTGTTAAAATCTTATAACAGAAGACATCAACTAACCATGGCAAATATTTCAAAAAGTGTTAATGGATTTCAGAGAATTGGTCTGTATTTATAGCTAAAAAAGAAATGTTTCAATAATTTTTTAAATTCAATGTTTATTTTGATTAATGTAATAATAAATGAACTATCCGTTTTTCCTTTTGACTTAGAGGTTATTAACTTTATTGTTCAACTATATACAATGAAAATGTGAAGAAATAAAATTCAATCTTTGGAAGTGAAGAAATTACCTCCCAAATAGATACCTAACCAAAAAAGTAAAATAATGTCTTAAGATTTTGGCTTCTTATATGGATTTGCACTATCAAAAAAAATTATTACTAGAACTAATATTTCTCTCCGATTTATTTGCCTATTAATGTATTATTTACTTACGACAGATGTTTCAATGTTACTAAATCATAAGTTCGTTGACTCAGAATTAGCTATGGTGAGTTAACATAACATTAATTTCTATTTTTAATTAGATTAGGTTAGGGTAGGGCTTCCCAAACTGTGCGTCGCGACGCCCTGGGGCGTCGCTGTGTTGTCCCAGGGGCGACGCGTGTCAGCCTAGCTTTTAATACAGAAAATATATTTATTTGATTTTAAATGAGTATAAAATATGTATTAATAAATACATCAAATAAAAAATATAGAGTCGGTAGACCCTTGAATTGTTCTAAATGTTTCCAAAAATTGTTCAATACGAAAATTATCCGATGGTCCATGGAATTATCCGAAAATCAGATAATTATTCATACATTGGCAACACTGGAGTCGAGCGAGCGCCGGGCGCATTCCAGGCGCATTCTGTTTCACCGGTCGGCTCCCCTCCCCCCTGATCCCTACTATCGTGTGTGTTATGTCATTTAGTCAAATTTTTGTTTTATTTTATTACGCAAGCGGAATTTTTTGCTATCAACAGTGGATACTCAAAAGAATAGAAAACGAAGTGAAGAATCAGGCGAGAGCAGTAATATTAACTTAAGTAAAAAGAAGAAATAAAGAAAATATGACGACCAAAATTTGATTTAGCTACGTTACTAAAGGAAATGTAGAACTTCCACAATGTGTTGTTTGTCACAAAGTGTTGGCGGCTGAAAGTATACTTCCTAATAAACTAAAACGGCATTTGGAATCGGTTAATATCGGAATAAGGTTAATATGGTAACAGTGATTATTGGAGAATCGGCAGCTAAAGAAATAAAAATATATACAAGAAACAAATATATGCGAGGATTTGTTATTTTGCAGAAAATATATGAAAGGTGTAAAGCTACTGATTTATTCAAAATTTTAAACTCATATATGACTAAAAATAATAATATTAACTGGGATAAATGTATAGGCGTGTGTAAGGATGGTGCCCGAGCGATGTCTGAAGAGTACGGAGGACTACAAGCTCTCATCAAAACCAAGGCTCCAAGTGTAAAATGGACACATTATGCCATACATAGAGAGACCTTAGCAGCAAAAAACGTTACGCCTGAATTAAGCGTTGTGATGGATAGCATATTAAAGTGATGAACTACATTAAAACATGACCCGTGAAATCAAGACTTTTCCATAAACTTTGTGAAGAAATGGGAGCCGAGCCAACTCTCGTTGACTGTCTTTAGAGTTTACTTTATTAATTCAGAGTTTATAATAAAATTAGCATACCTCTGTGACATATTTAACAAATTAAATAATCTTAATAAGTCTTTGCAGGAGACAATATTCATATCCTGCAATTGGCAGATAAAATTACTGGGTTTCAGAAGAAGTTGATCTTGTGGAAGAGGAAGGTATTCTACAAGAAAAATCGATAAAAATTCTTGATCCCTCTTTAAAAAATATGTTTACACAACACGTGTTATCATTGAGCAAACACTTTGAGAAATATTTTTCCGAAGATATGGAACAGTATGACTGGGTCAGAAACCCTTTCCTATCATCCACGCCATCGACACTTTCAACAGAGAAGAACAACTGACAGAATTGTAAAACGAAAACTAAACTAAAACGAAAAGTACGAAATGGACTTTTCTGCAGCTGCAGTAATTAAAAACCAGTACAGGTCAAACATAAACTTGAAAAAAGATATGAGAGTGGCAATTTCCAAACTGAGCCACGGTTTCATAGGCTGTGCTCAAAACAAGCTCAAACAAGGATGTGCGCAGGCACATCCTTAACATTAATCAGCCAGTGACATAAATATTCCTTTTAATTTTTTTTTGCCTATGTTTTGATTTCGTTCTTAATTTCTAATAAAAAATATAAATGTTCAAAATAGTGTTTTTGTTAAAACTATAACCAGTTACTAGGCTAGTACTAAAATTGGTAAATATTATTGGGGGTTGGGTTGAGGGGGCGTCGCAAAAAAAAGCAATGTCCCAAGGGCGTCACAGTACGAATAAGTTTGGGAAGCCCTGAGTTAGGGAATTTACATTTAAATGACACCGGTTGACAATTCAATTATTTCACAAATCGTAAATATTGACACATGACATTTACAATATGTCATTATCAATATAAAGATTATTTGTATAAATATTATAATACTATTTACAATTTAATTAATTTCTAAATAACAAGTTAGGTTTTGTGTACATATTATTCTGTAGAAACGGCTAAAATTCCAAAAAATGTAATATTTATTGTAAAGATTACTTAAATTAGGAAAGAATAATGTATTTAACGGTGAGGCTAAATAATTCTTAACACTAATAAATATTAAATAATAGTATCACAGTTTAACCACAAACAGTTAGGACACTCTTAGTCGGCGCCTTTGAAGTATAAAAGTAACCAGACGCCATATTGAAAACAGACCAGATCAGTTACGGACTGGCACAAGTGATTAGAACAGAGACGTGTTTAGGTATATTATTTTAAAGTTAGTAAACAAGTTAATTTAAATTAATTACAATCTACAATATATTAATTTAATTAAATTTAATTATTATCAAAATGTTTTATTTATTTTATATAAAAATAAAACTTTTCTACCATCATAACCAAATAAGAAACTGAAAAACTTATATTCCAAAACAACTCTTACAATTATTTCGGGAGGCAATTTTGTGTGTAAACTAACTTAAATAGACTTACTGTTAACTTCTACAACAATAATTTAACAAAAGTAAACTTACAAAAAATTTAAACAAGTAAAAATAATATCGGAAAAAATAAGAGCGAGTGAATACGTACATATATATATATATATATATAGATATATATATATATATATATATATATATATATTATATATATATATATATATATATATATATATATATTATCTCTTAATTTCTAAAACAATCTTAACAAAAGTTTAGGGTGACACTACGTTCCTTACAACTTGCTCTCTTACAGTCATCACATGATTTCATGTCTGTATGTTTCTTAGCAGGACAAAAATGACGTCTTGTTTGCTTAGCAGGTTTTCGATTTGAAAGTTCCTCAGTTGGGTTTCTTGAACTCTTGTTTTGATGTGTTCCAAGAATTTTTATGATTGTGGTTGTTAAATCATTATTACAGAGCTGTTTCATATATTTTCTTCTTTTCAGATGTTCATTCAAAAGACTTTAACCGAGTAATATCGTGAAATGTTTTTGAGACAAAGAACATTGACTATTTGCGCTTTTATAAAGAACATATTCATTTTTTCTTGTTATATGTTAAATTACATAAAAGACAGCCAGAGGCCATCTTTGTTATTATAAGTTTTTTACCTGCCTTTTTAAATTGCATTTACTACAGTTTCTAGTAGAATGGTTGTGTTCTTAAGATTTTTTTTAGTAGCAATGGTACTTGCTTCTTTTTAAAGTATTTCATACAGTTCTAGCAGTAATACCAGTTTCTTTTGAAATTAGAACGTGCTGTTACAAGGAAAATTGATTTCAGTTAGACTACTTACGGCAGTTTTAGGCTGTTCCTGTTCTTCATTAATTGCACGAGCTGGTTAATTTTCAAATTTAAAAATAATGTGAATTGCAGATTTTGATGGTACAGGGCCTTCGAATGAAAACGAAAACGTAGCGATTACATCGTTGGCCCTACTTCCAGAATAATATCATTTAATAATTTGAATTTAATGTTCAGTTGTAAAGGTTACCATTTCCCTAACTGGAAATATCAATTCCTTTATTTTTTTGCGAATAAAACCAGAATTATTATTTATTTATTTATTAACGGGATGTTTCCATTTTTTACAAAACAATTAACTACATAAAATATCCTAACCATAACATAAATACTAAAACTAAATATTAAATAATTATTAAATATTGTTAAACAATTATTAAATTACATAAATTAAATTTTTATGAAAATCATTTTAAAATGAAATTAATATCCCCAAGTTTTTATAAAAATGAAATGAAATCATAAGATTGACTAAAGTCATTTCCCGGTATCTGAATTCTGATAGGGGAGTTTGCCATAGTTAGTGTGATAGTGTTTTATACAGAACAAAGGCATTTCTCTAAGAATTCTAGTGCTACATCTAAAGTTGATAGGACCTAATAAATCAGAACAGTCAGTTACATGGTTAAGTAGTTTATAGAGAAAAACTAGATCACATTTAGTTCTATAGTTTTCTAAGGAACTGATATTTAGCCTTGACCTTAGTTCAACCAAAGACATGTCATTTAAGTTTAATCTATAAGCACAAATCCGGAGAAACTTATTTTGAATTTTTTCGAGGGTGTAATTATGGTTAAAATAGTATGGTGACCATTCTATAGAAGCATAAGACAGGATGTCACAAACAAAAGTAAGATATAAAATTCTATATGTGGGTATCGAAATATCTCGAGAATGTGTTGTGATAAAACCAAGATTGATTGTGATTTCATTACTAATGAAAAAATAGACATATATTTGATGTTTTCCTTATCAAAACTAAATATCACTTTAACAAAACTACAATTCAATCTAATGGGTGTTAAAAACAAGCTCGTATGTAGGTACTAGTTTCATACTATATTCAGCTTCTCTCAGCTAGTAGAACAACCTCATACTGTTCTTTTCGCACTAATTATGTGTGCTATACACAGTTTTCAGATTACCACAACTGTATAGTATTTTTTTGCTACTAACATTTATATATTAGCTCATTATTAATGTAAGCTTAATTTATTCTAAACAAAACAAAAACTTGAAAAACAAACAATTATAAAAGTTATTAGAAGTAAGTAAATCAACAAATCAAAACAACTATATAGCACTGTACTAACACTTATTTTTCATTATTTACCTAGGTAAAAAAGTAATACTGTTTTCCTACAGAGAGAAAATTTACTTCTTGTAGTAATCAAATAAATAATAGTAATTTTTCATGTTAGCAGTAAAAAAAGTTATTTATTGCTCCAAACAATTAATTTATTTTTTATAGATTTATTTGAAATATTTTTTTGGCATTTGAAATTTTGATTAATAAATTTTAATGTGTAATACAACCTTACTCTAGCATACAAATTTAAAAAATATTTATATGGAAAATTATTACAAGGATGTACGAATATTACACTTTCATACAGAGTAATAAAATTCTTTATGACACCACTTTTGATTATTATGTGTTCAAAATGTTGTTCAAATATTTTGTCCAGTTTAATTATATATTCTAAAAAAATATTATCCGGCATTTGAAGACTACCAAACATATCGAGGGCATCAGTATCATATGCTTTAAAAAAACAATATAAATTAGAATCATCTAATTCAGTAACAGTTTTCCCAAAATTTGAACAAGTTGAACATGTATGTACCTCCAAACACTTTTTAATATAATATCCACACACATATCTGGCAGTATTTTGTGAAATTATATCTAATTTTTGATAATCTAAATCAATATTAGCTAATCCAATTGTTGTGGTTGCTGCAGGTTGATCATTTAATGTTAAAGGAAGGTCAGTGAGTTTCAGTAAAACTGCATCAGGATCTCCTTGGCAATTTTCTGCTCCAGAATTCATTAGGTCAACACACAGTAATTTTCTAAATGCCATTTGGAATTGAAAAGTTGTTGGACTTAAATTATTTCCTGTTTGTTGTCTAATGGAACCAAAAAAATTCTCCAAGGAGTCTTGATTTAACCTTCTCGTTAACAAAAAAGTATAGCCAGCAATTTTAAGTTTCTCCCACAACAATTGTACACCACGAATTGTAATTCTCCACCCTTTTAAACATTTTATACGACTTGTAACAACTTTATTTTTATTATTGACAACTTGTACAGTCTTAAAAAACTTGTCACATTTTTCTAAAAATTGCTTTTGGTACTCTAAGTTTTTAAATGCCTGACAATACTTTTTAGAATGGTGTAGTGAAGAAGAATTTAATAAATCAAACAAATTATCAAATATTTGAACAACTTCTGAAGTACCTTCGGCAGCAGCTGGAATTATACCAAATCTAATATATAAATTTAAACTTGCAGCAACTGTGCTACTCAGAACTTGTGAAGCCAGCTTTACCTTCATCTTCTGGAAGGCGTTAGGATTAATATGTGCCTCTGTCAGTTTTGGAGCAGCTCGGTTTGCATATTTAATGTCATGCACATAAAAGGCTTTAATATGCTCCCACGAAGTTGTTTTTTTAATATTTGCTTCATTGGTAAATACAAAATGGTTTTTTAATAAATTGTTCCTTGCCAACTTTATCAGATGAGGAGTATCAAACATGAAAATAATTTTTTTATCTTCCTGAAAGTTTTGCTTAAAAATAAAATAGGGATTTTCAGGAGTTATATTCATGTTATTAGCAAACTTCCAATTATTTGAGCCCAAGTCGCTTATTATGGCACAAACATTTAAACCACATCTAAACAATGACTTTAGGGTCTCTGTCAAAATCACCTGCAATTTTTCTGCAGGACATGAACAATGATGCAGGTAATAACATAATGGTTGTTTCCAATTATGCATTATACCCCTCACCATTAATACAGTAGCACTTACTGCAGGAACAATTGATTTTTCACCACATCCAAAATCTTCTATGCCAACAACTTCATCTGATCCTCGGTTGTATAATAAATTTGCCTTAATTGCCATTTCATCAAAGCATAAGACACACATTTTATCTTGTTCAGAAAAATTACTCACTTTAAGAGTAATCATCTGAATAATATTTTCATTAATTCCAGGTTTTATCTTGATTTCCTCAGTGTACCTTCTTAATGTGCGAGGATTAGGAAGATAAAAAAGTTTCATTAACTTGGTTTTATATACCCTGGGTCCCGTGAAATACATCTTTAAACATTCTTGCTTAAAAGCATCTGAATAGCGGCGACCTCTTGGTTTCTTGTTTGTTTGGGCAATCTGTATTGTTAAAAAATCAGCAAGTTCCTTTGGACACAATTTATAAATTAACTGCTGACAATCCTCTATAGACAATGAATTCAGAACATCTGCTTTTTGCATCAGAACTTGAGTTTCTAGTTGATTTATTTTTTGGGACAAACGATAATTTTCGTTTCTCAATTCCTTTACTTTTGATCTGAGACCTTCCTTCCTTGGAGTATGGGAAGATAAAAGTAAAGGAGTTTGAGTGCTGAATGTTGGGGAAATTACTGGCAGTGGTGAACTTGTCTGATTGTTTACATCATCTGTAAACAGAAAAAAATGCATAAGTCAATACTCTTGTAATAATAGAAAAAAGTCTAATTTAGAAATGTTATAATATATTGTATATTTCTTTAAGAAAAAGAGTACTAATTCTATCCCTTGATGTGAATGAAACATAGGTTTCAATAGTTTAGAAAACTCTAAACTAATCAAAAGAAGAAAAGATTATATACATATGTTTTATAAATAAAATTTTAAATTTTAAATTAAAATTTTAAATTATTAAAAAATATTAAAAGTTGCACAATTTACACAATTTATTATCAGGATGGAAATCTCTTGATACCTTTGGAAGTAAATATCTCATTTTGTACTTACCATTGGATATAACAATATTCTGCAAAATATTAATTGTTGGTTCTGAAACTTGATCTTGTGCAGACTCTTCCCCACCTTGCATTGAACACTGATTTCTAGAAACATTGATATCTGCAAGAATAAAATTAGGTGTTGTAACGGGTAGCTCTTTCAGGACGACAGACTCAGTAAAACACAGGTTAAAATAAAAATATGTCTATTGATCTAATATATGTACAATATAAATGAAAATAAAATAAATTCTGTGCCGTATAAAAATAAACGTAGAAATTAACTCTGCGCTCCGTCTGGATCCCGCGATGAATGAATCCCCGGCGGACGTCTATAAAAGAAAGAAAGAAAATAATTATTAATAACAAATAAAATAGGTGTAGTCAATCGCACTCAGACGTATATTCGCTTCCGCTTCAAACCAGCGGGAGCTGCGAACACACTCGTCAACTACAAAATCGCTTATGCAGGTCCGCGATAAAGTTCAAGACACGATATCGGTAGACTTTGCTTAATTATGGACGGAGCATGAACTTCAAAGCAGAACTACCTCCGTCCGGGTGGGCTCGCCAGTTCAGGACACTGGCGAAGAGAGGAGCCTAAGGCGCTAAGCTAAAGACTGACCAAATGCCGCTATTCGTATGCCTTAAATAGTTGCTCTGAACCCCACTCACATCGTGCTAAGGAGGTGGAAGCGCCAACGCTGACACTCCTACGGTTCAAGCTGTTGAACGGTGATGACATCGTTACAGTGTTACTTTTTACCTCACTTTGTTACCTCTTTTTAGTTTTAATGTTTTGGACTTGATATCTCATAATGAAACATTAATATCTGATATTAAAAATAAATATCTTTTTGGGATAACCAACATATTAAAAACTTCACTGTCCAATGAATCACATATGATTCAAATAGCGTGGTTATATGCCAAATCCGTCCATGAATCAAATGTGATTCAAGAGTAAGTCATGATATTTAATGTTAAAATAACATTGGACTTGGAGACTCTTTGTAGCTATTACCATTTGGACATTGAAGTTTTTAAAATAATAGACAAGTATTTACCAAAAAACACTAATGGAAAATGACTTACCTAAAAGTGAATATGAATGATCACGGTGATTGGCTGAGGATCCCTGCATACATGGAAAAATGGTAGGAACTGCAGTAGACTTAAGCCTGTTACGGAGATAATTTAAGAAACAATTGTCATCAAAATGTAGATGACAAAGTTGATAACTTTTATGAAAAGCTGGAAGCTTTACATATAAATCCTCCCTTCCAGCAGCTCGTGCCCAGGTTTCTGCCCTGAAACAAATCTATTTTAGAATTTGAAAATTGACTAGATAAAATGGATAAAAAAAATTACTATGCGAAAACTTGATCATTATAGATGATAAAATTTGGCAAATTTCAAAATAAATAATGAATCACACATTAGTAGTCCTCGCAGATTAATGTACAAGTACCTCAGTACCTACCTATTGAGTTTTATGAAATTTCATAACATATATTATATATATTATATTATATATAAATATTATTTTAATAGTTGTATAGGTACAGCAAAAAATAGGGGTCTACAAAAACGAACCAGTCTTAAATCATTTAAACTTGTAATTTACGGATATTGACAAACAGATATACATACCTTTGAGGATCCTTGGGAAACGTAAAAAACGTACCTCCCGTTTTCGAACGCGAATTTTTGCAAGTGTTCACAGCACAATGGTTTCCAGGCATAATGAACTTACAAATATCACAGTTTAACCACAAATACTAAATTTTTTATACTATGCAAATATACAAATATCTCTTGCAAACCACAAAACTAATATACCTATAAGTATATAATATACTAAGTTGAAATTTGATAATACAATTTAGTTCTAAAAAGAACTATTTTTAAACTTAATTAAACGAAAAATAAAACTCGACGATAAAAATATAAACAAACAAATCACGACAGATGACTCGACTACACGTCACATTAATACCAGTCGGGTGTCACTAGCGTTAGGTCTGTTTTCAATATGGCGATATGGCCTGCGCCAAATGATGCGCGTACTTTTTCCCGCCTGTCGAGTGTCCATACTATTTCTCTTTATACTATGATAGTATATTGTGGAACAAGTGCAGAAAGTAACTAATCTCTCACGAATTTGAAAAATTGCGTGGAACCACGAGCACAAACTAGTGAGAAATTACCTTTCTTCGGGTATTACACACTATACTTTTTCTGCAACCACACTTAATAAAAATCCTCTAAATTCATATTTTTCTCTTGAAATTAAGTATTTTCAATTTCAGAACTATCGCTATCCATTTTATTAACTGACTTAAAAAATTAATAAAAAAAAATATTTTACAAAATAATTAAATTAGTATTCAGGGAATCCAGTTTATTAACTGAATAAAACTGCATCAAATAAAACATTTAAGTTTATTTTTGAAATTTTACAGTCGGTGGTAGATGAATATTTACAACTAAACAGTTTTTAATAAAAATTTGTGAATATTATTCCCATTATTTAGGATTATTCTTCTCAAGTTTATTTTTAAAGTTTAAATAGTAAGTATATTTGAGCTATTAATAATGAAAGGTAGGAATTTTTGTGTTGAATGTTATATGGAACTTTGCAGAAAAAAACACAGAAATGTCACTTTCGGGCACACTAATGTCATATTTCAATTATTGTTAGAAAACATTAAATTTGTTAGCATAAAACTATGTCAAAAAGTACTTTTTGAGTAGTAGTGGTTGTAGAAAAATATAATTTAGTCACAGGCCTTCTGGGAATGCTGTTATTTTTATTAACATTATAATTAAAGCTATTTTTAATATGTATTTAAGTTAATATGCATACGTTCAAAAAAAGTGCTAAAATACGAAGTAAAATAGTTCCACTATTATATTATATTATCTGTGTTCATCTACCGGATCAGCCTGCTTTCCTGCATTTTTTAAATAATGTTGATACATTCCTTTGCGTAATGGGTCTAAAGTAGCAAGTTTTTTGTAAAAATCCATTTGTTTTTCTGCATATTGTGGATCATTTAGAACCAAGCTTCCAGTCAACCAGCATTTTGCTAGAATAACCCCTAAAATTAAAATTAGAATCAAAATTCTTTTATAAAAATAAAAACGTATAATAAAGTCAAGTAAATTAAATAAAAACAATTGTTTTTCAAAACAAAATTTTTGACGTTTATGAAACGTTAAAAAATTGTCAAAGTGTTTGGAAGCGTTTATGAGTTCCTCGGGAAAATTTGTATATTTAAGCAGTTCTAAGTCTTTTTTACTCGATTCCGATCTGTTGTGAAGTGAAAAAGTGTGTTTCAAGATATAACACACAGTGTTTAGCTGATTTTGTTTGTTTTGCTTGATATTTTAAGTTCTGTTATTCTGTCAACAGTATGTCCCCGGTATGTCCGCGGGCAAAAATGGTATTTCTGGGAATGATCCACCCGATCCTGGTTTAAAGACATTTAATTTACAAATGAGAATGACATAATTATACATACAAATTCTTTGTATAACAATTCTCATGTTTACTACTCAAATGATATTAAAAACAGTGTTGATACAAACAACTTGCCATCGACTTCAGCTAAAACAAATATTCAAAAAAGTCAGGAATTTAATTCATCTAGTCGATTGTCATCTAGTCTAATGATAATGGTCCGTTTTTTATATTTGTTCAACATATCGATTTAATTATAGGTCCTTTGCATCCAATGAAACTTGGTGAAAAACTACTTTCGTTATCCAATTATAATAAAAATTTTATTGAAATTGTTAGTGTAGGTAAAAATCGAATTCAAATCCAAGTCGATGCAGGTTCTGTTGGTAATAAGTTGGTTAATGAAGATTTTTTCGAGAAAAATAACCTGCTAGCATGTATTCCAAACTATTTAACAGAAAAAAAAGGTCTCGTTCGTGGAGTGGATACTACTTTAGGTAAGAATTCACTGCTCAACACTATTAAATCTAATATCCCTATTAAAAAAGTTTGTAGAATGACTATTTTAGTTAAAAACAACGGTATATCGGAAAGAGCCCTAGACAGATAGTAATTATTAGCTTGAGGGTAAATTAATTCCCCAGTATATTTACATCAATAAAGTTAGATGCCCGGTTGAAATATATGTTAGTCTGGTTATGCAATGTTTCAAAATAATTGATGGATTCGACCGTTACTTGATGGAAATTCATTTTATGTAACAATAAAACACTGAAAACTTTGTTTTCAAACTTCCACAAAATTTATTTTAAATATCACTACAGCTGTTTCGGCTGATTGCCTTTCTCAAGTGATCTATTTTAGCTTGGGTTTACAAATTTATAGTCTCTAATGAAATAGGTTGAGGAGGGGAGAACTGTTTGTCTCAAGTTGGTCATTCAGAATTATATCTGTGTTTTTTAATTTGTTGATTTCTATAGATTCTAACAAAGATAGCTTAAGGCCTTTATTTTGAATGTGAAGAATTTTAAATTTGTCATTAAAAGACTGATTATGATCTAGAAGGTGAAGTGCGTATGTCGAATCTGTTTTTCTATTCTTGAAAGCCCTTTTATGTTCTGCTATTCGTTTATCAAAGGTTCTACCAGTTTGACCGATGTAAATTTTTGGGCAGTCGCCACATTGAAGTTTGTACACACCACTATTTAAGTGTTTTTTATTTTGGCTCTTGTTATTTTTAATATATTTGCCTAGGTTGTTATTTGTTCGGAAAGATGGTGTAATTCCTTTCTTTTTAATGTGCTTGGCAATTTTTGTTGTTATTTTGCCTGTATATGTAATCGAGCAGAAGGTACTGGGTTTTTTCTCTGGTGGTGGAAATACTAATTTCAGGGCTTTCTTGTGTAGTTTTTGATTTAACATTTTATTAATTGTTTGTTCGTTGTATCCGTTGTTTACTGCTATCTGCTTAATTATATTTAATTCTGTCTCAAAGTTGTATTTTGACATCGGAATTTCTGTTAATCTATGTAACATACTATGATAAGCTGCCAGTTTATGTTGTGTTGGATGGGATGACGAATTGTGTATAGTCGTGTCAGTATGAGTAGGTTTATGAAATATGGAGAAGTCATGTTTGTTTTGAAGTCTGCTAATTTTTAAATCTAAAAAATTTATGGATTGATTTTGTTCTGTTTCTATTGTAAATTCAATATGACTATGAAGTGAATTAATATATGATAAAAATTGGTTGAGTTGCCTGTTAGTTCCTGTGAAACATACCAGTACGTCGTCTACGTATCTCCACCAATATAAAAACTGTTTGAATACGGGATGTTTTGAAATATTTGTCTCTAGATGATCCATAAAAATATCTGATAGCAATGGGCTTAGAGGATTATCCATTATAAGTCCTGCACTGTTATTTGTATAAATTTTATTATTAAATTCAAAGTAGTCCTGGTTTATGCAAACTTGTAAAATTTCAGATGTAATTATTGGATTTGTACTATTTTGCTCTAAAAGGTTTTTTACTAGAATAAAAGTTTCTGTAGGAGGGATACTAGGAATAAGATTTTTTACGTCAAATGAAATTAATCTGGAGTTGTTAGGTAATTGAAAATGTTGTATTTTATTAACTAGTTCTATTGTATTTTTTATGGTAAATTTAGGTGAAAATTTAGTGTGGTCTAAAATAATCTCCAACAGTTTTTTTGAAATTTTATATCGCAATCAGCCGAAACAGCTGTAGTGATAATATTTAAAATAAATTTTGTGGAAGTTTGAAAACAAAGTTTTCAGTGTTTTATTGTTACATAATTAAGGAAAAATTGGTTGCTCTGATAAATGTATTACATTTTGCGTCTAATGTAAAAATAATAATCCTGCATTAAAAAGCTCTTCTAAGCGTTCGAATTCTACCTTACAGTTAACCCCCCTACAGTTTTCCTCCTATTCGTAAGAATACCAAACCAGCTTCTCTCTGGGATTTATATTTCAGTTTGGAAACTGAGTTTATCAGTTAGCTCCGTGTTTCACTCAAAAATTTGATCCAACAAAGTATACAGGATTATTGTAATTTTTATTATAGGTAACATTTCTACATAACTTTAGTGGCTTCCAAATTTATTAAAATTATTCAATGGAATATTCGTTCGCTAAATGCAAACAAATATTCTTTAATTCAATTACTTTTTGAAAAACGTTTTGACATAGCTCTTTTATCAGAAACTTGGTCCAAACCATCTGGTTTGCTTCAATAATTTCAATGTTGTTAATAAAAGTAGAAGTAAGGCATATGGAGGAGTTGCCATAATTTTAGCAACTAATATTATTTATGAGCCCATTTCATTTGTTAGCAATTTCAATCCTAATCTCGATGTTTGTGGTGTAAATATTAACATTGACCAAAAAATGTATACTATCCTGAGTGCTTACCGTCCAGCAAAAGTTAGGGTAATAATGCAAGATTACGTCAGTCTTTTTTCTCAAATTAATAATGATTAAATTATTGCCTTGAGATTTTAATGCTTACCATGGATTATGGGGATCCAATTTATGTTCCGTCTATAAATCCGATCCGATCACTTTCCCATTAGACTTTCTGTACAGGATATGAAAATTTAAAAAACAATTTTAATAAATTCAGCTAAATGTTCGATGTCTAATGCAAACTGGGATAAATTTAGAGATTCTGTAGAGAGCACCTTCGGATACCAATCAAATACAAATAAAACTAATGAAAGGATAGTCTTTTTATTAGACTATATTACTGATGCAGAAAACAAATATTTTAAAATTATCAAACCTGCAGCCAAATCTTTCAAAACTCCACCATCGTGGGATTATGAATGTCTCACTGCTTCGAAAGCGAGGAAAAATTATTTTAAAATGTATAAATCCAATTTTACCCTTTCAAACTTTATTGAATATAAACGGAATGAAGCTATATGTAAACGCACTTTCCGCTCAAAAGCCAAATCTAGTTGGCTCGATTTTATTCTTCACTTGGTAGGCAAACTTCACCCTCAGTGTTTTGGAAAAGGGTAAACAAAATTTAGGGTGAAAAAAGTACACCGTTAATCACGAATATATAGTAGAAAGTCTTTTTACAAAACTCTCTCCGGATTATGATCATCTACCAGTATTTATGCCGAGCATCTCTACCAATGACCACTTTTTACTAACCCCCATTTTAGCTGATGAAGCAAATATTAAGAGTTCTAAAAATACAGCTCCTGGTATTGACGGCATTAATTATAGCAGGCTATTAATCCTGCGAGTAATTAACAAATATTATCTGTACAAAATATACAGTATCTTACTTAATGGAGATAACTGTGATTCTCTTAAACAATGCTTGGTTATTCCTATACGCAAATAAACCAGCTTACTATATTTCTCATGTCTTGTTTGCTTAAAACATTTGAACGAATTATGAAAAGGAGATTAGAATAGTATTGTGAAAACAAAAATATATTTCCAGTATGTCAATATAGTTTTCGTATGAATAAAGGAACTATGAATTGTGTGTCTCAATTAACGACTTCTATTCAGTTAATTTACTCAAATAATAATTATCTATCTGGCATATTTTTTTGATATTTCAGGGACTTATGACAACGTCAATTTAAATCTATTATTCGAAAAGCTAAAGCACGTAGGTATTCCACCTGTGTGTGCATATGTGTTAGTAAACTTATTCCTTAATATATAGGTATTCACTCGATGTAATGTAATGTAATGATAGATTGATTAGCCCGAGAGTAGTGCATCAAGGTTTACATCAAGGCTTTGTCTTTGGCCCCTTGTTGTTTAATATATACAACTATAGATCTTCACAGTATAGGCATTAAATGCAATATATTACAATATGCAGGCGACTTCTACTTTTACACTGTGAATAATTCATACCAACAAAGTATTAACTCAATAAAAATGATTATGGGTGATGCAAGAGAGTATTACTTTAAACAAGGGTTTGAACTACGAATAAATCAGCTGTGGTGTTTTTTATGCGACATCGATTACCGGTTATGCCCTGCATTATGATTAACAACCTAAGTATACCCGTTTTTACAATCCCTACGCTAATCTTGATATTACATTGGACAAAAAGTTAACATGGATTAATAATGGGTTAGTAATAAGTACTTAATGAAATGTGAGAAAAGTTTAAATATTCTTAAAGTAGTTAATCGCTATTTATGGGGCGCTAACCCTAAGATTAATTTTATGTTTTACCGTGCATATACCAGATTCGTTTTCAACTATATTCTACTGCTTTCTATACGGATCTGACACAAACAGTCGTCTTACAAAACTAGACGGCCTTCAGTCTAAGACTGTGCGATTAGTTCTAGGTGCTCTCAAATCTACTCCTACACAGAATTTTCTAGCTGAATATATTTAACCTCCCTCACATTTAAGACAACTATTTTTAGCTGAAAAATTTATTTTCAAATGCCAATCTTACAATCAAACTGAGCTACTACAAAAAATATGTGACATTTCTGTTTCTAATCAAGTAGACAAATATTGACTTAACAGGAAATCTCCTATTCTGGCAGTGGCACATCACAACGTTCTCAGCATGTAAAGACTCCTTGTGAATTAACTTTCTTTCCATCGAATTTTAATGTGTCTTATGCCAAAGTCAATGTTTGGTTCCCCAATTTTGACAATGAGAATTCAGTTGATTTTCAGCATCAGAATAATAATCCTTGCAGGATTTTCACGAATGGTTCAAAATCAAGATTTGGAGTCGGTTGTGCTGTATATACTCCGGATCACAAAGAATTTCTAATGTTAACTTAGATAAACGATGCTCCATATACTTTGCAGAAATATTCGCAATTTATCAAGCTCTAGAATGGGCTGTCAAAAAAAAAGTATTAAAAAAACAATTAAAAAAAAAAAGAAAAAAAAAACATTCACAAAGAGGGCCTAAACTTCAGAGGTGTTGAACCGTATTTATATATTAATGGTGATAATACTACGCTATTAATGGCATAAAATTGTGTGCGCGACTATCAAATGAAGACGAGTCTTTAAAGTGAATATTTGACCGATCATTTCCAAGAAAAACTTCTTTTTTTAATATTTTTCGCATATTTCCAAATTCATATAAATGTTTTCTTTTCACAATAATTATAACATAGTTTTTGGAGTAATTAATTGGAGGATTTGAAACAAACTCCAAACATTGTTTTTGTTTTTTTTTTAATCAATTCGCAATGCAAAATTATCATTATAAAGCATACTTACATTTGCAATCAGGTTCGAGTTCTTCCAATTGTTCAAACGCGTCCAAAAGTTCTTCTTTTGCAAGTTTTTTTATTGACGGGTTACTTAAAACCCACCTAAAAAAACATAATCATCACAAAAATAAGAACCACCATCTTTAACTGATTGATTCTCTCGAAAGTAATTTCAAATCATCAAATTTCAAAACCTCAAAGGTTGTGTACATGGAGGTAACAAAAATCGTGGATGTTTACACACAAATCATGTATATTCTTACTTCTACCAAATTAACTTCAGTTTATTAACTCATAACAATATATAGCAGTCTATGATAAGCGATTTAATGAATCAATATACACCACATTAATATGGATGAAATAGTTCACCACACTGTAGTTAATTAGATTATAAATAAACCAAATTATCTTTGTTGTTTCCAAACAAGTTTAGTTTAGACATTTAATTAGTTAAAATGACCTGCCCAAATATCTTAATAATATAATTTAATAACATAAAAATTCAAGAAACAGACAACAGTCACACAGTGATAATACTTATGTATGTCCAAAAATATGGTAGGGATATTTTTTCTATAGACATATGCGATCATGTGATTCGAAGTAAATAAGTTTTGCTAGATTTGACTAGTCCTGAAAACCCAATACATTTAACGTTATATATTTAATATTATAAACGTCTTTTAAAGCAACGCCATTCATTTTTTTGTTCAAACATTTTTTACACCATCCTAAATTAATGCTATAAAAACAAAAAGTCTTACACAACAGGTTTTTCTCGTTGTATTAGATAATTTGTCAAACAACATTCTCTGTGCCTTACTATGGTCACTAAACAACATTAGAATTGGATATTCATATTAAAATATCCCAAAACGCGTGTCATGTAAAAATAATTTCACATTATTTTAATAAGCGTCTCATAAGAATATACAACAAATATATAAATATACAGAAATGTTGGTATCTCATTCTCTCATTGTGTGCATTGAAATTGAAATATTCAAAAATAGCCATTGTTTATAAAATAATGAGTAACTCCTTACTTTAATAACAGTTTAAAATGAATAGACAAAGAAAATTAAACAGAAATATTCATACTGAATATAAAATGAAATAGAATATGAAATATCAAAAATAATATGCAAATTGTTAATCGTTAAAATAATTGTAAAATAACTGTTAATTGTTAATTGTTAAAATTTTTTGGATGATCCTTAATTAAAAATAACTAAAAGTCTATCGGTGTTATATACTTTAAAAAAAAATTGTTCAAAATATAAAATAAAGAGCTCGACATACCGCAAATAGAACCAGGCACTAGAATCAGCAGGATCAGTAAACACAGCACTTTTGACTAGATCTAGTTCAAAATCAACACAGTCTTTGTCCAAGTTTCTTAATGTACTTCTATAATGCCAAGAAGAATAATTTGAAAAGTTTACATTTAATCTTTCGTTAGAAAATTTAAGCTCATGGTCTAGAGTTATACCAATTTTATTAACAAGTAGTCTTCGATAATCCCACACATGAACTAAAAAATATTAGAAATCAGTAAAAATGCTGTTTTAAATTCATGTTTTATTAATTAGTTAATACATTTTTAAGCTAATGTTTACTTTTTTGAAATAATTGAAAAGCTCTGAATAGTTCTGACCATTCTGAAACCATTGTCTTGTAGGATTTCTGTTATCTACTTTATTTAATAGAAATATTTAATGGGATCTTTTGATTTTCACGTAGGAAATCGTTCTCAAAACACTGATTCTTTCAAGAAATCAGTATATGAGAAATCAAAACATCAAGTATCGTATACTTTCAATTAGAAGTGTAGTTAATTCACATTAAATAGATTAGATCATTTTAAACAGTATTTGCACAACACATTTTTATAAACCTGTAATTCCTATTAGCACATCAATGTCATGTTTTAAAAAATGTACACTGTACTTGTCTTTTCTTGATCTTCAGGAACTTTACGCTATTTTTCTTTAATTTATTTCAACAATATGTATTTCTTACAGTTTGAATATCACATCTTTAAAACATTTCAGTTCCAGGATTTACATCAGCTTCAACTTATTAACATGAACTAGTACTTCGCTGGTTGATATGTGTCGATAAATGAGATATGCAGTTTTTGCCCCCTCTTACATATGTCTGCCTTTATTACCTATTTCTTGCTATACCATATAATTCCTCATTTTTTTACACAAATGGGACCATATTCTATCTTTCTATCTCTCTACCAAAGGAAGTCCTAATACAATTTGGAGGAATACGGCAGGTATTATTAGAGATACCGCTATTGAAATACTTGGAAAAACCTCAGGAAAGAAGTATAAGAATAAAGGGATCTGGTGGTGCTTAAAAGAATTTTAAAAAATAATAAAGTAAAAGAGAAAATTATATAAACAGTGGCAAAAAAATAGATTGGATGCAAATATTCACAACTTCTCTACAGCCATCAAAAAGAAAGTAAAAGTACCAGTAACGAAAGCTAAAATAGCAGCATATACAAATCTATATGATCAACTTGACACCAGGAAAGGTGATATAAAGATATATAAAATAACCAAACATAGAGTAAAGAAAGGAAAGATTTTAATCAGATTGGACTATCCGAGATATAATAAAATATTAGTTCATGAAAACGATGTCAAAAAGCGATGTAGAAAAGTATTTTGACAGTTTAGAAAAATGAATAGAAACAGAAAAATGTAGAAAAAATATTTTGGCCGTTTATTAAATGAACAATTCGACAGAAAATCCGTCAAGCTAACGGAGACTGTAACAGCAATAGTCACCAAAATAAAAAAAAAGAGGTTCATTATCATGGTGCTACAGCCCCTAAAAGACCTCTACCTTCCCAAGCTTTCTGCGCCATTCTGCTCTGTCCCATATTTGGATTTTCCAGTTGGCAACAGTGATCTTCTCAGCATCATGTGTTACTCCGTCTATCCACCTCAGCTTTAGTCTAACTAGTTTTGTCATTATCACCAGTTACACTGTTATATTTTTTATCACGTTCGATTCCGCCGCCCTGGCTACAAGTCCTGTCCTCTGCAGAAGGTTTCGGTTGATTACAATGGTAATATATTTTCACCAAACATATTTCCGTCCCCAGAGCCTGCTCCCAATGTATTGTGTAGTTGGAGGAAGTTTTACAGCTTATGAGAGACAGGAAAAAGTTGGCTAATAGGTTTATTTAGTGGAATTATGAAAGTGGATACCGATACTCCATACCAGACGAATGGAGTAGCAGTACATTAATAAGATTCAGAAGCTGGTTTGTTGTGACATGTATAAATTAAATACTATGTATGTATGGGAATAAACTACAATTAATTGTAATAACAATTAAATTTTACCCAAAAATTTGACGTTACGATTTCCACTTCGGAAATCGTTTTCAAAAAAAGAGTATTAAAAAATTTTGTCGAAATTGTTGACAAGGTTATGTCATCATAAAAATGGAGGTTGATTCACTTTTGGTCACCTTGTTTATACATATTTGGTCCACGGAAATTTCAAACTCTGATTATTATAAGCGTTCGGTATTGTTAATATATGCTGTAAACATTTGCCTGTGTGTACAATGTTCCTGTGTAGTAAAAGTCTGTTATGTGTTGCATTGGTGTTGTATATGATAGAGAATGATGTGTATACAGGGTTTCTTATTCCGCTATTCTTGGTATATTCTTGTTGGTGATTTCTTCTTTCAGTATTGGCATATATAAAGCCTGCTACATTGTGCTGATGGATTTGCTACACATTTTTCTTTATTGAGTACGATGAGGGCTGCTTCTTTGATTTGTTCTTTTTCATGTCTGTTTCTTTCATAACTATTTTTGCATTTTTCTATTGTACTCTATGTTCATGGTCCCAACTTGTTTGCATATCTCTGATCTGCCGAAGTCACTGATTTGGTGTATGTTTCATGCTGGTTTATCTTCACACTTAGTGGTCTTGCGGTTTCTTCCACATATAAGTTGTGGCATTCATAGGTTTGGTTTTGGAGGACATGATAGATCTAAGTGTATTAGTTGTTTTAAATGTAAGTATATGTAGTATTATATATATATATATATATATATATATATATATATATATATATATATATATATATATAATTCTTTGGAGGGTAACTTTCGGGAAAGCGTCAAAACAAGGATCAGCTAGAGATGGTATAAGCCAGCTTGGTGTAGAACTTTATTCTATATGTGAAATTTTCGGTGATATGTTGTCACCTTCATCAGCACCTAAATGGAAAACCTATTATAGTACAGTGGTGGAAATCAACATTTAAAAACCTACATTGAAAATGTTCAGTTGGTCCTAGTTGTAAAAAACACTGTCACAAACATGTTAAAAATATTAAAAAATACATTTAAAATTTTGAATAAAAACATTACAAACAACAGGGTAGTTTTTCAAATACAAACACAACAAAAAATCTAAAATTTACAACCTACAAAAACTACAAATAGAAAAGAAGAATTAATCTTCTTTTTTGATGACATATTTCTGTCAACATCCGGGTGTCATATGTAACGAGGTTATAATTTTCACTTTTGCACATCACAACCACATGGATACGAAAAGAAAGAGCCCTAGGCAACATAATAAGCAAGGAAATAAAGTCCCCTCTAAAGCACAGGTAGGTAATCTATGCATGTCATGATAAGTTCCCCACATTTTCCAGTTTGTTACTTCTTGTCAAGTCCTGTTGAAGTAGAAAGGAATAAATACAACTTAAGTTTTCAACATCTTTCTTACAGTTCATAGGAGAGCTGCAGTTATGGATGTAGCACATTTCTATGAAGTTTCTCTTAAATTGGTTGTCAACCCTCTTTAGTACTTGCACATTTTCATAGTTAGCAGTGTGTCCAGTATTCTTAATATGTTGGCTAAAGGCTGTGCTAGTGGGCTTCCTCACAACATCACTCCTGTGCAAAGCTATTCTTTTTGAGAGTTTCTGGCTGGTTTGACCGACATACACTTCTGAACAAGAACCACATGGAATAGAATACACTACATTGAAGTTATCCAGTTTTTTAACTCTTTCTGTCAGGTGAGTAAAGTATGTCCCTAATCTTTTAGAAACCACCTGACAGAAAGAGAAAGAAACTCACCTGACAGAAAGAGTTAAAAAACTGGATAACTTCAATGTAGTGTATTCTATTCCATGTGGTTCTTGTTCAGAAGTGTATGTCGGTCAAACCAGCCAGAAACTCTCAAAAAGAATAGCTTTGCACAGGAGTGATGTTGTGAGGAAGCCCACTAGAACAGCCTTTAGCCAACATATTAAGAATACTGGACACACTGCTAACTATGAAAATGTGCAAGTACTAAAGAGGGTTGACAACCAATTTAAGAGAAACTTCATAGAAATGTGCTACATCCATAACTGCAGCTCTCCTATGAACTGTAAGAAAGATGTTGAAAACTTAAGTTGTATTTATTCCTTTCTACTTCAACAGGACTTGACAAGAAGTAACAAACTGGAAAATGTGGGGAACTTATCATGACATGCATAGATTACCTACCTGTGCTTTAGAGGGGACTTTATTTCCTTGCTTATTATGTTGCCTAGGGCTCTTTCTTTTCGTATCCATGTGGTTGTGATGTGCAAAAGTGAAAATTATAACCTCGTTACATATGACACCCGGATGTTGACAGAAATATGTCATCAAAAAAGAAGATTAATTCTTCTTTTCTATTTGTAGTTTTTGTAGGTTGTAAATTTTAGATTTTTTGTTGTGTTTGTATTTGAAAAACTACCCTGTTGTTTGTAATGTTTTTATTCAAAATTTTAAATGTATTTTTTAATATTTTTAACATGTTTGTGACAGTGTTTTTTACAACTAGGACCAACTGAACATTTTCAATGTAGGTTTTTAAATGTTGATTTCCACCACTGTACTATAATAGGTTTTCCATTTAGGTGCTGATGAAGGTGACAACATATCACCGAAAATTTCACATATAGAATAAAGTTCTACACCAAGCTGGCTTATACCATCTCTAGCTGATCCTTGTTTTGACGCTTTCCCGAAAGTTACCCTCCAAAGAATTGTATTCTTAGCGTCGTTACACACACTCTATATATATATATATATATATATATATATATATATATATATATATATATATATATATATATATATATATATATATATATATATTATATATATATATATATAGATTTGAAGATACCAGATATTAATATAAAATTTTATAATAGTTTGATTATAATAATTGTTACAACATTCAAATACAGGATTTTTGTTTAAGTTAGAGTAGAACTTTATGTAATAAAGTGATAAAAATTAATTAATTTCAAGAATACATAGCGCATTTTCAAAAAAACGCAAATAAATCGAAAATTCTCAAAGATAGGTATAGGGATTGTTTAATAAAGTAATATTATTTTTTTAATTAGAATTCAAAATTAAAGTAAAATACAGGGTGTCCCATTTAAGTTAAGAAAGCAATTATACAAAATATGGTACAGTATTGACACTTCAGATTGCGAACACTCTGTAGATTAGTTTCAAATGGTAATTATTCTGATGTAAAGCATGGACACTTGACAATTAACTGACAAAAGGCGTTAATTAAAATTCATGCGATATTGTGTAATTAATTAATTTCGCGAATAGTACATTTTCAGAAAAACCCAAATAAATCGAAACCAGTCAAAAATAGGTATGGGGAATGTTGAATAAAGTAACATTATTTTGTTCAGTAGAATTCAAAATTAAAGTGAAATATATGTTGTTCCATTTAAAAAAGTATAAGTTTATATCATTACGCCAAATTGGAACACCCTGTATATATCTCACAAATTTTAATTTGTAGCCGGTACTAACCTACGTATTCCTACAAAAGAAATTTTTAATATCTTTAGCCGTTTCACCGGTAGGCTCCGTCCCGTTGAGCGTGACTCACCCTGTATATATATATATATATACATATATATATACATATATATCTATATATATACATAATATATATACAAATATATATATATATATATATATATATATATATATATATATATATACACTTCATCTAATTTATATAACGATGCACGTCATCGGCGTCATAGCCTGTGACGTCACATGATACCAACACAAAATATTTAGGGTGTAGGTGTGTTCTTTTTTAGAATCACTTTACCGAGTACACTGGCATTACAGCCACTAGACATATTTTATTATATACGCGTAGAAATAATATTTAAAAATTTCTATTGATGTTAACTTAAAGAAATACACAATAATATGTTTCATTGAATTTGTATAAATGCATTATAAAGCGTTTTTATCAAGAACATTTGTTCGGATCACACTGTAACTGTAATCGAACGAAGGTAAAATTTTGGCATAAATTGGTAACACCTATTTGACAGTTGCGGTGTTGACATTTTTTGTACTTCATTATTTTGAATTTTAAAGTGAATATCTTTTGTTTTATATTTTCAACTATTTAATAAAATCTGTTCTTTTTAGAACAAAATTAGTGTGTTTTATTTCAAAAATGTCACGTAAGAATTTAAATAGTCGTTGTAAAGAGATGGTAATACTTTTGCAATAATTATGTAATCTATTTGATTTAAAATGGAGTCAGGATTTTTTTATACTTTGGCAACTATGTCAACTTCGATCTCTGACGTAGATAATGACGTAAGTCGTTATCTAAATTAGATGAAGTATATATAACTTATCTGCCAATAAATGATAAATACATGAACACAAAATAGTTATTATGCTTACAATTTCTATCATCCATTGTAAGGTACCTGGTACATAATGAAAATTCTTTTTCCCAATTAGGTTTTGGATGGTTTAACAATATCCAATACCTGTGGTGCCAAACTCCATAGGATTTTGGATTAGCAGGAAGACATTGTTCTGTAAATTTAATTTCATCTTCTAAGAACGGTATTAGTTTATCTTCTCCTTCTATTTCATCTGTTTTACTGAAACATAAACATTAATATGTGAATTAACTGAATATATTACAAAAAATTTAATCTACTAATTAAACATAAAATTAATTTTCATACATTTCATAATATTCTTAATAAATACACATTTCTTGTTTAATCTAACATAGTAAGAGATTTGGTCATTTCAAATGTAAGACAAGAAATATTTTGTTTCCTACTATATAACCCTTATATGACCGTTGTATACCCAGAGATACACTATAAAGAAAGTTTATAACCGAAAATATGTCTGACTAAGCGTGTAGAGTGCAATGTGTACTGAAAGATACATTCACTTTTTAGGAATTGAAGCAGGTAACGCGAGAGAAACCAGTTTGTATGCAAGTAATATCTCAGTATAGTTAGTGACATAACAGACAGACAGTCTATTGATGAAGTAGGTCAATATATATATATATATATATATATATATATATATATATATATATATATATATATATATATATATTATATATATTATACCATCGCCCTAGTGTCTTTAGTTATCATTATGTTAGTTACTCAAAGTATGCAATTTAAGGGTCATCTGACCTCATTAGGTGACTAGTTCTAACTACTATATAGACGTTTTTCACTGATGATCTGATAGGATCGAAAACGTTCTGAATATTTATAAATCCGTTTTTGATAATTTTTAAAAATTTTACTTCATTGTAATTTTTTTTTATACTACGGTCTACAACCAACCACCGGGAATGTTATTTTTAAATTTTAAATATATTTTTGGTTTCATTGTGAATTTGTGTTTTGTGACTTCAAAACCACTGTTTTTATGTATCCCGTAGTACACACTCATCGTTCAATTTTCTTTTTACATATTGGCAAATTTTATTTTAACTTTGATCAAATAAAAGGCAGATATCGAGCAGAGTTTTATTAATTAAATCTTGCCCAAGTACTTTCGCTTCCTAGAGCATCTTCAAGGGCATCTGAAATAAGCCAAGAAACGTTTTTTTTTTTAACTGAAGAAATTAATTAACTTCGATAAAGAACTCGAAGTTGATGGTTGATAAAAGTTTTTATGTGATTAACGTTTTAGACTTACTTCGTCATATTTTACCTATTCAACAATAATAGAATGTTATAAACATAAAATTGTACATCACACTACACTACACAAGGACAAACACTTGTGAAGGTGACATGTGACATATGACAGCTTGGATGGACAGTCACAATCATGGAGATGTGATCTGCACATTTCAAAATTCTATGAAACTAAGCATTGACCTAAGGTCCAACTGACACTACTATAGGAAGTCAACTGATGAAATATGAAATTATATAGAATATTTTAAGTAGATTGTATAATCAAGATCTCACACTCAAACCTGTCTATAATAATTAGGGTGTTAGTTTGAGAGTAACTGAAGTTGACGTAAAGTATGAATGCAAGAAATAGACAAAACAATATATTAGACAGTAGGTGGTTGACCACAATAAAAGGGTCTACCAAGCACTATCAATACTGTGGAAAAGATGAAATCTGACTATGTAATTAGATTCTATTTTGATAGAATAAAAATCTATAAAGATGGAATAAAAGAAAACTATTTTAATTTTTAATTTTTGTTTGTCGGCCAAAAAACAATTTATAAGTATGCTGTGTCACCTCGGGGTAAATGGAAAGGGTCTAAATCACCTTCTGTACCACCGTGTGCTCTGTAGAGGGCTTCGGAGACGTCAACGAAAGCACCCCTACCCAAGTCTATTTACAGGGTATAGACTTGTGAATATTTTAATCTGATAAGCTCGACTTGAAAAAGACGAGATATTTCTTACATGACATACGAAGTTGTCGAAATAGGCATCAGGTTCTCGGCTTCGGTGACTTGCTTTGACAAAGGCAAGATATTTCTTACATGACTAAATAGTAGTCGAAATAAAACACCAAATATTGTTGAAATAAAATACTCAGCCACAGAGTATAGGAAAGCTAAAAACAAGAAAAGCAGAGCCCCGAGAGCACTAAGCTCTCGGAGAGCCCGTGAAGGACTGACTTGATTGACCTGAAAATCGCCTATCTTTATACTTTCTGGAGTAGCGATTAGGGATTTCCAGGTCAGGGAGGAGGAAAAATAAGGGGCGGGGCGATGCGTCTCGAACGCGAACTAGTCGCGTCCGAGAACATCCCCCCTTCTCTGGAGACTCTGTGGCTGGGAAAGAAATTTATTGAACCATAAAAATAGAATACAAACACATGTGAAAAATACACGATAAAATACATGTGAAAAATACATAAAAATGCACAAGAAAATAAAGTATTCAATGAAAGTTCATAAATTCACAGCACTGCACTACTTACGGGGAGTGTCGGTGGTGATGACGGCATCTCAAGCTCCTGAAGGTCCATCCTCGGTCGGTGTGCTAACTCCTCTAACGGGTTCGCCTTCTTCTCGGTCGTCTGGATCCCATCTGCCATATCCGACGGGGTTTCGTAGGGTACCAGTGTGCCGAAGCCTACGTGGTCGTCCAACCACTTTCGGTAGGGGGGCGATGACTGGGTCTACTCCAGGACTTTCATCGACATCTGGGGGTTCTAACTTCGAAGAAGACTGGCTCGTCAAAGGCGCCTGCACGTCGAAGGTATCTGGTCTGCAGAAGGCCTCGATGTCGGAGTGTTAGATAGCATTCTAACAATCCGTGATTCTCGCCATTCTTCTCTTGACTTCAACCCATGTTAAAGTCAATGGTGTGCAGCCTTCTGTGAATTCGAGCTGGGTCGTGGGTGCGGATTTTAATCACGTTGTCGGGCGCCATGTCACCTCGGGGTAAATGGAAAAGGTCTAAATCACCTTCTGTACCACCGTGTGCTCTGTAGAGGGCTTCGGAGACGTCAACGAAAGCACCCTACCCAAGTCTATTTACAGGGTATAGACTTGTGAATATTTTAATCTGATAAGCTCGACTTGAAAAAGACGAGATATTTCTTACATGACATACGAAGTTGTCGAAATAGGCATCAGGTTCTCGGCTTCGGTGACTTGCTTTGACAAAGGCAAGATATTTCTTACATGACTAAATAGTAGTCGAAATAAAACACCAAATACTGTTGAAATAAAATACTCAGCCACAGAGTATATGAAAGCTAAAAACAAGAAAAGCAGAGCCCCGAGAGCACTAAGCTCTCGGAGAGCCCGTGAAGGACTGACTTGATTGACCTGAAAATCGCCTATCTTTATACTTTCTGAAGTAGCGATTAGGGATTTCCAGGTCAGGGAGGAGCCAACGGGAAAAATAAGGGGCGGGGCGATGCGTCTCGAACGCGAACTAGTCGCGTCCGAGAACAGCTGGAAATATCAGATATGTGGTATATATATATATATATATATATATATATATATATATATATATATATAATACATATACAGTATAGGTAAAAGTTTATGGTCGGTATGGTAAAATTTAACAGGATATTTAACAGAGATATAAAATCATATTTCCCCTTGGTCTCCCCTCCATATTTCTCATTGACGCCCATTGCCCATTAGTGAGACGATTAGTTTCGATCAGAGATATTTTACATATCTCTGGTTCCGATCCTAATATACCTTAGAATCTAGAGACATTTTTATCGGAACCGTTTTTCGTAAACCTTAACTAGTTGATTGTTTACCAGTAGTTTCAAATAAGCGAGTACACAAACAAACATATTCGCTATTATCGTTTATGTGTATAAGTATTGAAGTGAAAGAAACTAACGAAGGATATATTTATTATAACTTGAAAAATAAATTAAACAATACAAATAGTACTTACATTTACATTACACATTATTAAATCGCGAATCGTCTAAATTGACATTTAAAAACATAAGTTTTTCCACTTTTCTTTTCTTGTTAACCGTGTTCTTCTTTTATATAAAATTAAACCAGATTTTGAACATGTTTTCACAAGAAACAGATTTTGTTACAATACTACAATATTTTATGAATATAGTTGTTAAGTTAGGATATACATGGCGATGGTTTTTCCATCACTAAAATGGACAGATCCAATCTCCGTTCGAAATTTTTTGTGGGTAATATATCATCAGACACATACATGTCGACTTCTTTTATATTTCTCGATACAGCTGTACATTTAGATGAGTCATGTCCAATTAATTCATCAAAAATACACTATGGATTTAAGTCATCTTTATCAGTTTCTTTTTCTTGTACTGGTTGATTTTCAATAGCATAATCTTTTTTTATATAGAAGTAACCAGCTTCTTAACTTTTTCTTTTGTTTTTTATAACTAGGTATTCTGATTAATGAATGAGTTTCGATTTGCGATTGATCTGCATTTTCGATTTCAAATCTTTATTGATAGTTCGTCAAAGGATTTATTTATTGTAAATATTCAATTAAGAATTATTTTTCTTGGTCAAAATTATTGACCTAGTATAACAATAATAATTTTATTTTCAAAAAATGCACATTTGTAGAAGATGCAGCTTTTATGGTCCACTTTTTGAATATTGCAATGATTGAAACTTCTCCTGACGCATTTCTGTCCGTTTCGGACAGAAATGCGGCAAAACTTTGTCAGGTTCATTACTTCAGGAATGTTATATCAAAACTGGGCACATTATTAGATCACAAGTTGTTAAACGAGTAGAAAATATCTGTATTACTACTGACCTATGAACATCTGGAGTAACTGACAGTTAAATCGCATTAACAGGACAATATTTAACCAAAAATTTAGAATTTAAAACGGTTTTATTATGCTGCTGCCATTTTTCTGGAAACCATAATTCAAAACACATCGCTTTTGAAATAAGTGAAATTATTAATTAGTGGGGTCTAAAAGGAAAAGTAAATTTTGCAGTAACTGATAATGCCTCAAATATGGTCAAAGCTATTAAAGATGATTTGTAGTGTACAAATAGATCAAATAAAAAGTCTTTTTTTTCGACAATTCGGCAACAAACACATTTCAAAAAAAGTAACTTATCTTCAGAAACCTTAGACTTTTAAAGAAA